CCCGCCCGCGGGCCAAAACATGCCCGCCAGGTGGTTCCAACCGGCCCACTTTTTGAGATAGAAAAATTTTTGAGAGTGAAAACAAAAGCACAAACACTTCATGTTTGTGGTGTTTTGTGAATGAAATTATATTTCATTAAATATCAATATCAATATATATATATATATAATATAATCATTTAATAGACTGGTACTTGTTTGCAGGAAAACAAAGGGGGGAAACATGGAGTTATTGTTATTAGCAGTTAGCAGTTATTGGCCGAGGGCAGGTTACACCACCCACACACACTCATACTCGTACTCTGTGCTCAGATAAGATTTAATGATTCACATAAATCTGAGTTTTTTTTTATTTTATTCAACTGGAGTAGCGGCAGAAACCCACCCACTCACTGGAAAACTCAACATAAATATAGAAAGACTACAGTACAGCTACCAGCAGACACTGAAGTGATAATCTCCGCTAATCCACCGCCGCCTGGTCGCTGAAGAACAACATCACTCTGACTCCAGTCAAACAGTGAAATGTTCAGTATTTCCCTCTGGAGTAATGTGTGTTTTCAGTGTCACAGTAAAAGTTACTCCGAGTAAAAGTATCTGAGGAATGTGTTCTGGAACAGCACTGGTCTAAATGTAGAGTTACTATCCACCGCTAACCACCCAGAGTCAACTGGACTCCTGCTGCTGTGGTCGCAGCCCGGCCCACGGTTTTTGTGGAGCTCTTGTTGTGTTTTGTGTTGTGTACACTGTACTGTGTGTGTTGTTATTGTACTCTGGACACACTGTACTCTAAAACTGCAGTATTTTGTATTGTGAACCCTCTGGATTTCTGTCTTTTTTACAATCATTATCTGTTGTTGTGTTGTTGTGTTGTTGTGTTGTTGTGTTCTTGTGTTGTTGTGTTGTTGTTGTTGTTCTTGTTGTTGTTTCTGTTGCTGCTGCTGGTGCTTCTGCTGCTGCTGCTGCAGCTGCTGCTACTGCTGCTGTTGCTGCTGCTGCTGCTTCTGCGGCTGTTACTGCTGTTGTTGCTGCTGTTGCTGCTGTTGCTGCTGCTGCTTCTGCGGCTGTTACTGCTGTTGCTGCTGCTGTTGCTGTTGCTGTTGTTGCTGTTGCTGTTGCTGCTGCTTCTGCTGCTGCTGCTGGTACTGCTGCTGCTACGGCTGCTGCTGCTGGTGCTTCTGCTGCTGCTGCTGGTGTTACTGCTGTTACTGCTGCCGCTGCTGCTACTGCTGCTGTTACTGCTTCTGTTACTGCTGCCGCTGCTGCTACTGCTGCTTCCGCCGCTGTTACTGCTGCTACTGCTGCTTCCGCCGCTGTTACTGCTGCTCCTGCTGCTGCTGCCGCTGCCGCTGCCTTCAGGCCAGCTGCCTTCAGGCCACCTGCTGCGCTCCTCTGTTTTTCAAGATAAATACTGACGGTCTTATCCGTCCGTCTGATCTCCTTGTCTGCTCGTCCACATCCACAGACAAGTGAGTTCACAAACCAAAGCTCACAGATGGGTTGGATAAGGTCCAGACCACGGGCTGTCAGCAGGATCATGGCACCAGCGGCGACGTGAGGACTTCCCTCAGGCCGGGCTGGAGCTCAGTGCATTCTGGGTTGGGCTTTAAATTTAAGAAGGCAAGAGGGGGCAGTGTGTGTGTGTGTGTGTGTGCAGACAAACTGCACAACCTCTTTGACTGTCCCTGTAGGCGCGGGCAAGAACACACTTGTCCTGGTATCGTTAAGATCTCTCCATGTCTCTTCCAATCCTACCTCCTCAATCAACAACAACAACAAAAAAAAAAAACCACACACACGCGAATACATGCACACACACAAGCGACACTAAAGGCTGGTTATTAGTGGTTAATGAGATAGAAAATAACTACATGACTACATGCAATGAGATAAACAGATAAATAGAAAAGAATGTGTTCACCACATATATATTTATATATGTATATATACATATATAAATATATATATATGTGTTCACCACATATATATATATTTATATATGTATATATACATATATACACAAATAAAAAATATATATTTTACATATATTACTCATTTTCTCTTTGTGCATATATATACAAATATATACAAAAATAATAATAGAGAAATATATTTTACATATATTACTTATTTTCTCTTTGTGCATATATATATACAAATATATACAAAAATAATAATAGAGAAATATATTTTACATATATTACTTATTTTCTATTTGTATAACTATATACAAATATATACAAAAATGTATATAAAAATAAAAATAAATATATATAAACATATTTTTACATATATTATTTATTTGTGTGTATATATATACTGTATATACACATATACAAATATATACATCTACAACAATCCAAAAGAAAATAGGAGAGTGAGAGAGATTTCAACTAAATACGATCAATCGATCAAACATTTTACCTAAAGTTCACGGCACAAAAAAAGACTGGACCTACCTGAACTAACCCTGAACTTCCAAACCGCTTTGACCCAAATGTGCCGTACGGTACCGTGTGAACAGCGCCATCTCAGCCCGTGAATCGGCGCTCGGTGACTTCCCTCCACCTCGCCGTCGGTGCGACTTGTTGCTCCCAGACTTCCGGTGCTCCAACATGGGAAGTCATCGTGATACATTTACCTAAAAAAATCCAAATGTGTGGAAAGACCGACAGATATAGACGCCTCACACTCACCCCCTCCCCTCTCTCCCCCCCTCTCTCCCTCTCCACGTACGTACTGACAGGAGTCAGATGATCAGGAGCGTGTAGCACACACACACACACACACGTACGTACGTTTTCATACATGTGTGTGTGTGTACACAAACACACAGACAGAACCAAACAGGTCGGCCTTCGTTACAGGCTTTTTTCATCATGTTGTTGCCAGTAGAAACCACAGATGTCTCTTAGAGCGAGTCTTTATCCACCCACAGACCACAGACACACACACACACACACACACACACACACACAGACAGGGAAGACCAGGGTTTCTGTGAATCACACTAAGGCTATAAAAACTGGGAGGCTGAAAAAAGATTCTGGCGGAGAAAGTGTTCGAGACGATGCAAAGCTCGGCAATTCCAAAAGTGGATGAAAGGAAATTGGAGGAAACCCTGACAGTCGTACAAATCTTTCAACCAAACGGAAGCCGGTTTGTTTGTTTGTTTGTCTGTTTGTTTGGGCGACTGGTCTCCAACGATACGACACAATGTCTTCAGTGAGTTCTTCAACACCACAATCACTCAATAAGACGGAAACACAAGTGTGTGTGTGTGTGTGTGTGTGTGGAGCTGCCTAAGCTTGGTGTGATCCACCGTTCTACACTCCTGAAAGTTACGTTTCTTCTTGGTGATACAAGCATTTGTATATATATTTTATTTGTATTTATATATCAATAAATATTTTTTTTATTTTTTGATATATATATATATATCAAAAATATTTTTTGGTATATAAAAAATAAAAAATAAAATATAAAAAATAAAAAATAAAAAATAAAAAATAAAATATAAAAAATAAAATATAAAAAATAAAAAATAATATATATATATATATCAAAAATATTTTTTGGTATATAAAAAATAAAAAATAAAATATAAAAAATAAAATATAAAAAATAAAAAATAAAATATAAAAAATAAAATATAAAAAATAAAAAATAAAATATAAAAAATAAAAAATAATATATATATATATACATATATATATATATATACATATATATAGACTGGAGAGACTAGAGAGACTTAGGCACCGAGTCACTCTGCAGGAACTGTCGTTCAATCCCAATGTTTGGCGGGAACCGATCATTTTTTGTGTGTGCAGGATTCTTCATATTATGGTTTAAAAGTGACCTGAAGCGACCCCATCCATCCATCCATCCATCCATCCATCCATCCATTGATCAGTTGATCTATCTATGTCAGGCCATGTGATCATTTCTCCATCAACCAGAGAGCCTCAGATCTCCCTCAGCCCAGACCTGCGGGGGTGGAGGTCTGGGTGGACGCCCAGTGCAGCCAACATTGTCCGTTCCACTAATTAGCTCCCTCAACACTGACTGCTACTGAAGCTCTCATACTGTCATTATATTTAATTTGCCCCCCCCCTTCAACCCCCACTAACCCTCCAAAACAGAACAGTGACGTCTCGCTTCAGTGATGTAAAAGTGAGGATGAAATGTGACAAGACCGTTGGGATAGGGATAAGGAAGGAGCACGAATGAAAGTCGAAATGGGTCGAAAACTCACCCACACTGAGGAGCCGTGCCGGAGTGTCACGATGTACGTAGCTCGTGGAAACAAACGTAAATTACTCACAGAGCCGGCTCACGAACGAAAAAGTTAAACTAATAAATACATTACACCAACAATAGCAGGCTAAAACCTAGCCAGCTAACACCTAGCCAGCTAACACCTAGCTAGCCAACAGC